GAGGTATATATGAGCCTTTATATGTCTACATGCTTCCCCCAACATGCAGTATATGTTTTGTATGTCTCCTTAGATTTTTATCCTTTGAAACCAATCAGCCTAATATCCTACCCTTTAGGATTAGTGGTCCTAAGTGCCTCCGGGACTGATAAGATGGGGGTGGGTAATAGCATGCAAGGTAAAACGAGACCATTCTGCGTTTAATACCTTAACGGGGTGGGAACAGGTAGATATGGATATGATGACCACGCGATAACACCACGTGTATAAACGGTTACCGGGTGTTGTGTGGAGTGATCCATATTATGTATAAACCTAGGACCCCTTCCCTCATTTGTCCACTTTATTTTCAGAATTTCAACTACTTTTTCGCCAAAACTTCAGCTTTTAAACTGCTTGCAATAACTATATGAAAATTTCTTCCTTTATTCAAGATCTCAAAACTGCTTCCTCTATCAAAATTCAGTTTCTTTAACTTCCTTAATCTCTTGCAACCATTATGTGAAAACCCCTTTGTATTTGTTTGCCTACTTGTTGTTTGCATTTAAAGTCACAATATGACATGGCCGGGAACCACACTAGTGGATCTTGAGGGGTGCCTAACACCTTCCCCTCGAGATAATTTCTAGCACTTACCCGAACTCTGGTTTTCCAACTCAAAAACTCTTAGTGTCCTAATGCACTTAATCATTAGGTGGCGACTCTTCAAATCCAAAAACCCAAATCCCAAAAGGGAATAGAGTTGTCCGCCCAAATGTCGTAAACCCAATTTCGCGATAAAAAGGGGGCGTCGACACATGTCAGGTGAGAAGGTTCTCCTTTGAGTGCTGCCTTTGAAGGGCCTGATACGGTTGGGGAAGAAGGGCAAGTTGAGCCTTAGATTTATTGGCTTATTTTAGATCTTCCAGAGAGTTGGGGAGGTTTTTTATAGGCTTCATTGCCTCCTAGCCTAGCAGGGGTACATCCGGTCTTTCACATTTCCATGCTTCGGAAATACTGTGAGGACGGGTCACATGTTTTAGACTTCAATATGGTGCAACTTGATGAGAATTTGACCTATAAAGAAGAGTCGGTGACTATTCTAGACCGGCAGGTTCGGAAGTTGAGATCTTAGAGGTTTCCTTTTGTAAAAGTGCAATGAAGAGGTCAAATGATCGAGAAGGTTACGTGGGAGTCCGAGTCCAATATGTGGAGTATATACCCACACCTCTTTACCAGTCCAGGTACTTTTTTATGTCCGTTTGAGGACGATCGTTTCTTTTAGATGTGGAAAATATGATGACCCGATAGGTCGTTTTGAGTACTAGTACCTTTTTCAATGTTTCGAGACCACCTATAGCTCCATTTGATGTTATATGACTTGCGGGCGTGGTCCGTTCATTTTTTGGAAAACTTTTATGTGAAACTTTGAAGAAAACGTGATTTTTGACTTAAAATAAGGTTTGGTTTGACCACGCTCAAAGTTCTTAGTAAGCGACCTTGAATCTGTATTTTGACGATTTTGGTAGGTTCGTATGATGTTTTTGGACTTGTACACACGTTTGATTGGGGTCCTGGGTGATCTAAGTGCGTTTCAGCGCATTATGTGAAAAATTGGAAAAATGAGTTTCAAAGTTAAAATTTTGAGTTTTGATAATCGATTTTTGATATTTGATGTTATTTTGATGATAGGAGTTAGCAATAAAGTTTGTATAATGTTATTACACTTGTGTGAAGGTTTTGATTGGAGCACGGGGGGCTCGTGTGAGTTTCAGATGTGTTATGATTGAGTTTGGAACTGCTAATGCTCAGTAGTTGCTGGTGTGAAGTTGCAGGAGAACCTGATCGCAATTGCGAGCTTTGCATTTACGATGTCAGGCTCGCAAATGTGAACATGTGCTGGGGGCTGAGTCTTCGCATTTGTGAAAAAAGGTTCGCTCTTGCAAAATGTTTCGTGATTGCTTTTGCGGCTCTAGTGTCGCTTTTGCGACACTGTGTTATGTAAAACAGCTTCGTATTTGTGAAGCTTGACTCGCATTTGCAAGTGAGGTGCCTTCGCAAATGCGAACATAATGTCGCATTTGCGACATCTACAAGACCGAGCAATTGACCACATCTGCGATCAGTGGTTCGCTTTTGCGATGGTCTCAATTGCGACATCCGCAGTGGGGTAAAAGTTGAAAAAACGGGACTAAGCTCATTTTACATCATTTTTCAACCTCGAAACTCTCTAGAGGCAATTTTTGAAGAGGATTTTCTTTCCAAATTCGTGGCTAAGCAACCTTAGCTAGTTTTCAATCAATTTCAATTACTTTTTCATGAATTTTAACATCAAATCCATGAATTTCAAGGTAAAAATTAGGGGTTTTGGGTAGAATTTACGGATTTTATAAAATTGAGATTTAGACCATGAATTGAGATCGGATTTCGAAACAAATCACATAACCGGGCTCGAGAGTGAATGGGTAATCGAGATTTGGTCCGAATCTCGAATTTTGACCAAGCGGGCCTGGGGTAAACTTTTTTTGACTTTTTCAAAAATGATCAAAATTGAACCTTTTTCATTTGTGGGTAGTTTCTCAAGTTTGTTTTGAATTGTTTTAACAATATTTGACTGGATTCGGTTGGTTTGGAGGCTTGTTCTAAGCAAAAAGTCTTGGTTGATTGTTGATTTAATTTCAGAAATAGGTAAGAGTCGTGGTTAACATTGACTTGAGGGAGTTAAGACTTGATTGATCTATGTACTACGTGATTTATGTGTGGTAATGACGTATATGCAAGGTGACAAGTATATATGCGCTGTCATAGGTTAAGCATGTAAGGTCGGCTATTAATTGTGTATTTTAGCTATATCATGTCTTCTTTTATTCCGTGTTAGTATTCATGTCATGCCATCATTGTTCCTTGTTTCTATTTATTAAATACATGTCTTCATTTACTACATGTTCCATGCATCCATGTTTTTACTTGTTATCCATTCTACTTGTTTTATGGCTTTAATTGTCTATTTGCCTTCACTTGCCTCTATTTCACTTCAGTTTGTTATATTGGTTTGCCTTAGAGTGTTAACTTGTTTGGGTTCCTTTTTCATACGTTGTGAATTATGCCATATTTGTTTGTAGTATTACTATATATACTACAAACAACATTGACATTGTATATGAGATCGGGTTGTGCGCTGAAATGGTATTGGTATATATAGATGTATGGATTGGGTTGCGCGCCGCAACAGAGAAGATATATTATGATTGTTCTTGACTGCTAGTTCTGTATCTGTATTGTGTTGTGAACATGAGCATAGGGTCTGGGGCCCTCTGTTATGTATTTCATGTTTCGATTTTCAAATTAATTGTTATTTCTCTATTCTGTTATTGTTTTTACTTATACTCATACAGGGGTATAGTGAGTTCCTTGTTATAGCCTCGTCACTACTTCGTCGAGATTACGCTTGGCACTTACGGAGTACATAGGGTCGGTTGTACTCATTCTACACATCTGCACTTCTTATGCAGATTCTAGTGTTGGTCCCAGCGACGTTTAGTGGAGGATTGCACGGATTGTCACTACCCGGAGAGTTGAGATAGAGTTGCACGATGTTCGCAGACCTTGAAGTCCCTTTCTTATCTTTTATACTATTTTATTCATTCAGACAGTTGTATTTTATTTTGGACCTTGTTTGTAGCACTTTTAGCAGCTCAAGTACCTATGACACCAGTTTCCGGGAGTGGACAAGATTGTGTTGGTTTAAGATTATTATGTTACAAGTATTTTAGATTTATTTTCCTAATCATTTTTTCTTAAATTTTTAAAAATGATTTAGTGATTAATTAGAGTTGGATTGCCTAGAAAGCGGATGCTAGGTGCCATCACGACCCCGTGGTTGGGATTTCGGGTCGTGAAAATTAGTAGGCCTAATGAGACTATGCATTCTACATTGGAACGGGTTTGTTTACTCAGCACTGCTATTGTTGGGGGTGTGTCATTGGCTAGAGTTGATCTTTCATGTTCTGGTATGTTTAATGATTTACTCTCTTACGCTACGATGGGATGTGGGACTACTTGACTATTCACACATATGATGTGGTTTGGTTTGGGACTTGTGGAAAGATTCAAGCGAGATGGTTCTTGGGGTGTTGAATTATTTAATATGCCTTAGTCATGTTTTTACTATTTGTGGTATATTGTGCTATCCATTTCACCATAATTATGATCATGTACTTTGCGCGTTTACTACTGATACACGTGCGGTTGATGATTGAGAGCATTATGGATCGATGGATATTCCATGTGGATTAGTATGTTTGGACCACGTTACATGCCGCACCAAATTTATGTTAGGATGAGATTCCTTGTGATTATTTCGTGTGTTTTTCTTCTTCATTGTGGGATGGATTCATAGTATGGTGTTGTTGGGGTTGTACCTGTAGAACTTGTTGGGTAGTTCTCTTATTTGGTTCTCCTTCTATCTTTGGTTATATCCGAGTTATTGCTTGTTGGGTGCGAGTTTCATCACACGCGGCTCTAGGTGGCATTGTGTGTGGAATGTCGGGCAGCTTGTGCTGGGTGAGATGAGATCAATGGACCTGGAATTAGCGCAATCAGACTTGGGTAAGGTATGTTTGGATGAGAATGTCATTAGTTAGCTTAGAATTTGGCAATGTCTCTTATGGGGCGATGATCTCCATGACTAGTTGATCTGATGAGTGGTTAAAATTTTTTACATGTTTCTTTATCTTTGGTAGTGTACAAAGTTTTGGAACAGGGTTTTGTGAGCACGTGATTTTTGCCCTATATGAATTACTCCCACAAATTCAAAACAAAATAAATTTTCCCATTATTTGCAATTTTATAGATTTTTGTAGCATTTTTTCGTTAATTGTTTGCATTTGTCTGCGCATGTTAATTTTGTTTAATTCATGAAAAATACAAAAATATGTTGCATTTGCATTTAGGATTTAATTTTACATTTTTTGGATCAATTAGTAAATTAGTTTGTTTTATAAGAAATGAAAAATAACCGAAAGCTGAACATTGCTGTCACAAGAATTGCAAAACCTTATGGAAACCCTAATATTCTTGCAGAATTTATAGCTGGACAATTAAAGAATAGAGTTTCCTTTCGAAAAGCAATGAAAAAGGCTATTGAATTAACAGAACAAGCGGATACAAAAGGAATTCAAATACAAATTGCGGGGCGTATCGACGGAAAAGAAATTGCACGTGTCGAATGGATCAGAGAAGGTAGGGTTCCCCTACAAACGATTCGAGCGAAAATTGATTATTGCTCTTATACAGTTCGAACTATCTATGGAGTATTGGGCATCAAAATTTGGATATTTCTAGACGAGGAATAATTTTACTACTTGTCTTTCCCTTCTATCCAATGATTGAACAAAAAAAGAAAAATTCATTCTTTTTCTAATCAATCAAGGGGAACATTTATAATTCTTAATTCTATAAGGTTGAATAAAAATTTGATTGACCATTTGATATAATTGCTATGCTTAGTGTGTGACTCGTTGGTTTTTTAGGGTTAGGATTAAAAAAGACCAGCCCACATAGTATGAACTAAAAACTATAGAACTAATAACCAACCCATCACTTCGCATTATCTGGATCTAAAGAACCAGTCAAGATATGATATATAGGTCATATCTTTGTAGCAACTGAAATCTTTTGCATAAACAAAAAAGGAAATCTGATTCTAAGTTGTAAAGCAAAATAGACAAAAAAGATGTGGATAAATGGAAGGATGAGAGAAAGAGAGAAAAAGAATACCAATGATATAAAATTCCAATATGTAAGGTCTATGANGAAAATGTAAAAAGGGTCTAATTGCAAATCTGACTTCTTTAAGCTGCCCTAATGCCTTGCCTATAAAGGCACCTTTGCTTGGCATTCAAGGCAGATTTAGAAGAGATAGAATTCTGGAAAAAATAGAAACGACTGAAAATTGAAAAGGAAACACTGATTTCTCTGCATTTTCTTTGTGAAAGATTGCTCAAAATTCTGTTTGGTGTTGATTTCTGATCCTCTTCCCTAGTTAGAATCTCTTAAAAGTCTGAATTCTACACCTGGGCGAAGATGGTTTGATTTTGGGGTGTTTAGAGTTGGGTTTTGAGCTGCTGTGAAGTCACTGTTCTATTGCTTTTGTTGGACTCTGCTCTGTTGCTGTTTACTGCCTCCTCACTTCTTTTTCCTCTTAAATTTCTAGGTATTCTCAGCATCATGGATATCACTTAAGTGTAATCTGAAGTTTGAATTTGGGAATGTAATGAAAGCATGCTACCTGTTATTGAATTTCACTTCCTTGTCTTCTAATTTCATGCTGGCTGTAATATTTAACTTTAGAATGATTGTGATTTGGTATACTGATTATGAACGAGATATCATAGTATAGAATCAAGGTTTCTTTTATGTTTTGGATTCCTCTGTTATCAGCTTGTATGGAATTGGCTGTAGTTATAAGAAATGTCTCGGTCTGTATTTGGTTATGACATTTAGGCTAAGTTTTGATTCATTTGTTGTTATTTGGGGACTGTGATTGTATCTAATGTTGGAGGTTGGTTTGGATTTAAAGTCGGGATGGATGATAGTAACCATGCTTAGGTGATTATTTTGATTTCGTACCAAATGACCATTGTTTGTTTAGGCTAGTTTGGATTAATTTGAGTCAACAGAATAAAGTTCGAAAAATCAGATTTGTTAAGTATGAAGTTTTTTTTTAGAAAAACATGTGAATTTGAGGTTTAATAAGGTTAGTGATGAATAATTGATAAAGTTTCCTAGTTTAATACATATAGCATGTTAATACTGATTAATTTTAGGCTTTTAATTGTCTANCCGCGAGCCCAGTTTAGGCGTATTTCTTTGAGGCTTGGGCTCTTTTCGTGGGCCTGAACAAGGCTATTTAACCTTCAGACTAGTATAGATGATGGGTTTGAAAAATACAAGAGGGACATAAAGCCAGTTCATATAAGGTTATTCGTTAGATTTTATTAATAATTGAGGAGAGCTGTAATAGATAATCGATTAGTTTATGGCCCTCAATATTTTGATCAATTTTTTTGATAAATAGTTTGGGGGTGTGTCGTGCCAAATAAAACTTTAAATTGCATGGCCCTCGTATTAATTTCACAATTTAGATATAACAATATAAATAATCGTAGTTTGCTTTAGGCGCGTTTAACATGTTATCATGGTCATGGACACGTTCGCGTGACATGATTACGATCTTAAAAACAAAACCAGAGTATGCGTTCGCGCAACTTTGGCCAAACTTCTCTTAATAATAATAAAGCGTTATCGATTGTGGACACGTTCGCGTGACATGATTTTTGACGCGCCAAACAAACAGGTACACGTACGCGTGACCCGTTTCAAGATAATTTTCTTATTTTAAAAGTGGTAAAAGGTAAATGCACATAGGTCCTAAAATGAGTAATTAAACAATCTTAATAAGCCAAGTATGATCAAAGCGACCGTGCTAGAACCACGGAACTCGGGAGTACCTAACACCTTCTCCCGGGTTAACAGAATTCCTTACCCGAATTTCTGTGTTCGCGGACTGTATAACAGAGTCAATCTTTCCTTGATTCGGGATTTAAACCGGTGACTTGGGACACCATAAATTATTCCAAGTGGCGACTCTAAATTTATTATAAATAAGAATCCCGTTTCGATTGTCACTTTAATTGGATAAAACTCCCTTATACTCCCTTCCCGGGGTGTAGGTAAAAAGGAGGTGTGACAGCTCTGGCGACTCTGCTGGGGAACGCCAACCCAGAATCATTGGTTCAGGGTTCAAGAATTTGAGCTTGTTTTATGATTTTTACTTGGCTTTATTTATTGTTCATATTACTGTATTTTGTGAACCTTTGTGCTAATTGCTATCTGTTTATCGCTTTAATATTGTTTGAATTGTATATAACTGTCTTCTTACGCCACCCATCTGAGTCTTCTGAAAATGGTGCACACGTTCGCGTGGCCCGCTTTTTCTGTAGAAGTTACACCAAATAGAACGAGGCTGGGCAAGCGACAAGGCCGGGCAAACTACAGTGCTCCCGGTACATCGGCCCCAATTGTCCGCTCGGGTACCCCAAGTCTAGAACAAAACCCCAGGATTTAAACCTAGAAAAACACAGCTTCATGCCAGATCCCTAGTAGGAACTCTTGTTTGCATCGCGTGCATTTGACTTAGGGGATTCAACACAGGGGTTGGGTCCGTCTAGGACAGGTGTACCCAAAATAACAGACCATCCTGATGCATTCTATGTGCTATGTAAACATTTATTTGTTTCGGCTTGCATGTTGACCGGCTAGGGAAAAATAAAGCAAAAAGAAAAACCAAGAGTGATGTAGGGAAGAAATAAAGCCCGGTTCTAAAGAAAAAACCCGATATTTGAAAACATCCCGAAACTCTGCCAACATTTTTCAAAAAAAAAAAGAGAGAGTTATTTCAAAAGAGTCAAACACTGTATCCTTTTCAAATGTGTCAAAGCTGACCGAACTGCGCAGGTCTGATTCTCACCTGATGTGGGATACGTAGGCAACCTACATAAGGTTCGGCCTTATTTTTGAAAAAAAAAAGAGAAAAAAAGAGAGCCAGTGGTCAAGTAAATGTAGTTTGGAGTTTTGGTCGAAATAAGCCGATTCAGCTTCGGCAATGTCTTAAACCGTTCTTGCCGAGATAGCCTTAGAGTATTTTCAGTTGTCGAAGGGCTATTTTCGTAAAAGAACGGACAAGTTTGTGAAGTGTCATAAAATAGTCCTCCCCGGCCTCGAAATTCATGTGGGATTGGGAAGGGGCCACGTTTGCAAAAATAGTCATTTGGTTAAAATTGGCATATAGGGGAAGGAATCATGGTCCTTTAATCATGGTCCAATTTGTGTAAAATTGGAAACCTGTTTTACAAAAAAGGTCCACTAGAGTCAACCCTAACCTTAACCTTCCACAGGAATAAATGACTACTATCCAGGATCCGCCAGAAGTGGTCAGGGAACAGGCTCGGTTGCACTTGCGTATGTGGTCGAATGATCTAGATGAAGATGGTCAGAAATGGGTGAAAAGCAGTTGGGTGCCCTTATAAACATTTTTGAGATAAAACCACGGGAAGATCTAATCAAGGCTTTGGTAACTTTCTGGGACCCTGTCCACAATGTTTTTCGTTTCTCGGACTTTGAGATCACCCCTACTTTGGAGGAAATGGCCGGGTACATCGAGTTTGGCCGAGATTTGAGGAAGCAACAACTTATATTTCTGAGGGCTCCATCGGTGCACAAGTTCTTTGACCTCCTGAATATCAGTAAACAGATGAAGAAAGCCCATGTAAGCAAAGGGTGTTGTTCTTTCCATTTCTTGTACTTCAGGTTCGGGCACTCAGCTGGGTTCGAAACGCATGAAAAGGATTTGAGCAACAAACAAGATAAGGGCCTTTGGCAAATTTATCGCCGGTTTGCATTTATTGTGGCGCTCTTGGGGATCATGGTTTTTCCAAAATGAGAAAGGGACAGTGGGTACTCGTATGGTTAGAATTGCACAAGTCCTCACTACCAGAGAAGATCATACACTTGTCCCGTTGGTGCTGGCGGATATTTATCGAGCATTGACATTACGCAAAGCCGGGGCTCAATTCTTTGAAGGTTGCAATATCCTTCTACAAATGTGGTTGATCGAGCATCTTCGCCATCACCCCAGATTCATGAGTTATGGTTCGAGCCCGGGTAACTTCATCACCAGTTACGAGGAGAGAGTAAAGGATTACAACGTGCTAGAAGGGTTTGAAGCATGGGTCTCCCACTTGAAAGCTCTCAAAGCAGGTCAGGTCGAGTAGACTATAGGATGGATCCCGAGGAAAGAAGCCATATACATGAGTGCTACCAAGGGCTACCTGAGGTTAATGGGTGTAAAGAGTATCCAGCCATATGCACCGCAGAGGGTCTTGAGGCAATTGGGAAGATATCAGATTGTGCCCGAAGATGAAGATCTAAGCATCCAGGTCATAGAGCTACATCCAGAAGCTGCATTGCCCGAGGCTTTAGTTCAGCAGGATTGGAATAACTGCCGGTATATGAAAAATGGCACTCAGGTACCAGATGTGGCAAAGGGGGAAGTAGATCCAAACTATGCTGCTTGGTTTGAGAAAAGGTCTAGTATAAACAACGAGCCGAAGCCCGAGCCCGAGAGGCCTGCCAAAAGACCTTATGTTCAAGCTTTTGACGACAAAATCCAAGAAAGGTTGGCATGGGGGAAAAAAGAAAAGACATATCAAGCCGAGATTCATGCCTTGAAAGAGAAGCTGAGAAACATGGAATTTGACAATGATCTCCAAGCACAAGAGGCCGAAGGCGAAAAGAAAAAGTTAGCCAAGGAAAATGATGCCCTTCTAGCCCAAATTCAGGAAATGAAAATGGCAGCCGAAAACCCCGCTAGAAGTGCAAAAGATGAAAAGCTTATAGCTAATCTTAGACAGAAAGTGGGGGAATATGGTTTTGATCTGAACAAGGCCGAAGGCGAACTGGCAAGAGCTCGAACAAAATTGGCCAAGAATGCGGAGGAGCGAGCACGCTTGGTTAAACAGTTAAAAGAGAAATATGACAGTGAGGTTGTAGGGTTGAAGAAAAAGATCACCGTCCTTGAGAACAAAATGATTAAGCAGGAAACAGACTTTAATGCAGAAAGAGAACACTGTTATGCAGCAATGGCACAGTTAGAAAGAGATTTGCAACAACTTCAGGAACAGAATCATGTAGCTGAGCAAACTTTGGAAGCTAGGGCCCGACAGATTGGGCGTTTGTTGCAAGAAAAGGGCATCATAAGAGAAAGGGTCAGAAGAATCGCCGACTACATCGCGATGAAATGCAGTAGTTGTGAGGACAAGACTAGATCCATGTTCTTTGCCACTATAATGACCTTTGTCCGCCAGATAATGGAAGATCTCTATCATCTCAAAGGGAATTTGGCGCGTAGGCCCGTGGCGAGACCAAATGATGTCCCGTGGGCCCCAAGAGCTGTTGAGGCATTGATGTATTCTTGATTTCCGTTGGAGTCTGTTGTTCTGTTTTCGAGTCTGTATTTTCATCTTTCTGTTAGTCTGTTTTGAGTCTGTACCTTTCTATCGGAGTCTGTCAAGTCTGTTAGTTTTTGTGGGTAAAATTAGGTAGGATGAGTCGTTGTAATCAAAACGTTTTATTTCTATGAAATTTTTTGAAAATCCCAAAATGTTTTATTATTTATTTTTTCACTCATCCCCAGAACTACGCTCGGTCTGATTCATGCGGGGTCATGATACGTAGGCAATCTCCATAGGATTCGACCATAACCAAAAGAAGAAAAAAAAGAAGAGAAAAGAAAAGGAAAAAGAGAGGAAAAAAAAGAGAGAAAAGAAAAAGAAAAGAAAAGTGAGAGAGGAAATAAGAAACGATAGGAAGGAAATTGTGGCAAAACAAGAGAGAGAAGTCAAGCAAAGAAAGGCGTAAGTGAAAAAGAGAGAAAGAGAAGTGGCGAATGAAAATTAGGAAAAGCCGAGATGACGCAAGCAACCGATCAAATGCATGATAGAAATGGTTAACTGCTTAGGTGCATTACATTCCCCAATGTGCGGTTGCCTATCTGTTAAGCTCTAATCACTACCAAGTTTGTTGTTGACATATCAGTACAGAAAGGTGGTTGGTTTGTGGTTCCCGAAGTAGTAACTCCTCTCCACAACATAAAGTCAAAAGGCGATGGCGGACAACAACAAAATTGGGTTGGTTGATACCGGTGCCCGAAATCAGTTGGTTGAACGGGAGACTAGTCTGGCTGATGAGGTAAGGATGTTAAGACAACACACGATGGACATGTATCAAGCCTGGA